CTCTTTGGGCACAGCTCACAAGAATTAACCCCTGTGTCCCCAGCTGACCCTGCACGCAATGGATGGAGACACAAATCACCTCAAGCAACCCTCAGATCAATTAAAAAATACTCCAGTGACCTCAAGTAAACCTGAAGAGGGTCTCAGTTGACCTCAAATGACCCCTGTGACCTCGAGTAACCCCAGTGTCTCAAATGACCTCAAATGACCCCTGTGACCTCAAGTAACCCCAAACAGGGGCTGAAATCACCTCAAGTAACCCCTGGATCAATTTTTAAAGACTCAAATGACCTCAAGTAACCCCTGTGACCTCAAATGACCCCTGTGACCTCAAGTAACCTCGATCAGGGCCTCAAATGACCTCAAACGACCCCTGTGACCTCAAGTAACCCCAAACAGGGGCTGAAATGACCTCAAATAACCCCTGGATCAATTTTAAGACCCTCCAATGACCTCAAGTAACCCCTGTGACCTCAGAAAAATATAATGAAGAGTTCAGTGTATAAAATCTCATTCCAACGCTGCTGCTGGGCAAGGTGTGATAACAATTCTGACATTAATTCCCTCTCTAAGCTGCCAAAGGGAGGCCAGGTCCCTCCTTTCCCCAGTTTGTTTAGAATTCCAAACCAGTTCTTCCACGATAAAAGATATCTTTTTACTTGATAGGATACACCAATGTTTTATTATTCAATTTAATGGGGAGTTTCAGGGGATCTTTATTTTCCCTGCACTCCAGCAGATGCATCCCATGGGAAAAAAAGCTGCTGAGAACAGAGCCACTGAGACAGTCCTGGGTGGGATTTGTCCTCAGGTTCTGCACCCCCAGAGCAGGCTCACTCTGCTCTGTGCCATCCCTTAAACAGGCAGTGGCAGCACAAGGAATGATCTAGAAAGAGAAAGAGAATACGTGAGAAAATAACCTCAGACTCGAATCTCCAGGGTTCAAGGAGTAACACAAACCCTCCTGTTTGTGGGAGCAAACTCCATCACCCAGCTTTGAATTTGTGCTTTATTTTCATTAGCTTTATTAGGGTTAAAAATATAATTAATAAAATTAAATATTTTAAATAATATTTAAAATAATATTTTAAAATAAAATTAATATTTTATTTCTAATTAAAATTAATACAATTAATTCATCAAGTAAATATATTTAAAATTACTAATATTTTTATTAATTACTAGTATTATTTTGTTTTCTTTTATTAGTGTTTATTATCATTTTATTAGTGTTTATTATCATCTCCTGTAAGCATTGGCATCTACAGCATTGATATTAGCTATTAATACACTCATCAATAAATTCTGCTGTTGGGATCTATTAAATTCTATTTACAATATTGCCTTTTAGGATCCAGTAGTGTAATCACCTATTGCAACATAAAAATAGGATTATTTCTTCAAATAAATAGTAGATTTATTCATATTGGCAATTAGCAATGTATTATTAGCTGTCTCAGGGGTATAAATGTGTCCTATCCCAGACACCTCTCTATCACCTTCCACCCTTCTGCACTCCACTACAGCTGAAGTGCCTGGGAAACCCCAAAAAACAAATTTTACCAGACTCCCTGAGCAAGTTTGGGGTAAAAAACCCCACATCCAAACCTTCCCACATGTGTACAGAACAGATTACCTGAAAAAGCTTCACGTCCTTCCACAAGCAGGGATTAATGGGATCATTTTCCCTGATATTGCTGTGGCTTCTCCAGAACAGAGAATGGATCCAGCTTTGCTGCTCAAGCAGCACCTGAGAGGTTCAGACACGGCCAGGTGACACCCGAGGGGCTGGAGCAGGGCTGGCAGAAGGAAATCCAAGAGCAGGAAGGGTTTGAAGGTAGCAGGCACACAGAAAGTTTCCAGAGTGATGGATTTCTCACTCTTCAGTTCTGCCAAAACAGAGAGAGAGAAAACAAGAGGTGAGGGATGAACACAAAGCCAGTCCTCTGCTGCAGGTGGGGTAGTGACACACACAGGGGGGTGGGGGACAGCTGGGACACCCACCTGAGGGGAGAGGAGGGGGTGTGAGGTGTGCAGAGCCAGGCAGGGGCTCTCTCCTGCCTTTATTTATGAAATCTTGCCTTTATTGTGCAGGAAGATGACAGCACCCAGCACAACCTCCACGATGATGGCCACAGTGATCACCCCTTGGCTCTCTGCTGTTGACTTCTGATCTAAACACAACACAGAGAGAAAGTTTAATTGTTAATTAATTATTGCCTGGCCCACTGTGATCCCATCCATCTTCCCTTGTGTATTAGGAAAGGGCATCTTCTCCCAAAAAAGCTTCCCCAGCCACCTATAGGATGCAGATTTCGGTACAGAAATGCTCTTTTGGGGCAGTTTCTGTAGGAACACAGAAATTCTGCCCCATGTGCCATAGGAGGGTGGATAACAGGAATTCCTGCAAGGCACCAGTCATCCCTCTGCTTCCTTGCCCAGTGGGTCTGGGCTGTAAGAAACTGCCTTGCTGGGGACAAGCAAGCAGCNCTGGAACCTTCTCTCCATCAGTGCCAAAAGGCATTTTACAGTTGCTGGGGGCAGAGGGGGTGGATGGATGGATGATGGATGGATGATGGATGGATGGATGGATGATGGATGGATGGATGGATGGATGATGGATGATGGATGGATGGATGGATGGATGGATGGATGGATGATGGATGGATGGATGATGGATGATGGATGGATGGATGAGGGATGGATGATGGATGGATGGATGGATGATGGATGGATGATGGATGGATGGATGGATGGATGGATGGATGGAGGGAGGGAGGGATGGTTTGGGATGGCTCACACTGCCAGGGACAAGGAGCCAGGCTGCAGCTGGCTGGATCCCCATGGGAACACTGCCAGTCCCTGCTGTGCCGCAGCCTTGGGCTGCTCCTCTCCCAGGAGCCAAACTCTCCACAGCTCCTGGAGCTCAGCAGTGCCCCTGCAGCTCCTGGGGGGGTTGTGAGGGAGGCTGGGACAGCAGGCTGCCAGCAGAGGTGGCTGCATGAGTTCTGCCACCTGAGGTGACTTTTCTGTCCCTGCTGTTGCTGGGGGACAGAGGCTTTCCCCCGCCACTCAAGGAGTTGTGTTTCTCTTGCTGTCCTGTGCCCCAAAGGGTCCCTGGAGGACAGGAGGAGGGGGATGCTGCTGGAAGAGTGGCTGCTCCTGCAGCCCAGGGGTTGTTTTCCCACTGTGCTTGGTGAAACACGTCAGATTGGGTTTCAGTTTGAACTCCTGTTTGTCTGATGAACTGGACATCGCTCCTTTGGGGGATTTTTGCTCTGGGGGTGGTGTCCTGTGTCCTGGGATGGGTTCCCTGGGGGACAGCAGGGCTGTGTCAGTGCTGCTGTTGTGCTGCCCTGGGTTTGTCACTGTCACTGTCACCTGTACTGCTGGCCCTGCTCCTGTCCCGCCCTGTGCCCGGATGCTGCAGTGTGTGCTGGGTTTCCAACACTGTAATTTGCCACCTCCTGGGGCAGAAACAGCCTCACTGAGAACATCAGTAACCCCCTGGCACAGGGACAGCTTCAGGGTGGCCCTTTCTTTGCCTCTTGCTGCAGTGCTGTCCAGGATGGGCATGTGCCAGAGCATCCCAGTCCATCCCCATCCCTGATGTCTCTGGACCTCCTCTGCAGGACCTTTGCAATCTGGGGATGCCAAAACCCCTTAATTGCAGTTCAGAGCTCCTCATCCCATTCCAGTTTCTGCTGTTCCCAACTAAATAGATGTGTGTTAAACTCCAGGATGCTCCACCCCGGAGATGATCCCAAACGGGGTCAGACAGAGCCGTGAGCGGAGAGAGGGCAGGGACAGAAGGATCAGGGCTGCCCTGGAGTGTCCTGCCAGCTGCTGGCTCCTGCCAGCCCAGTTTTGCCCATCAGGCCACGAGATGTCACATCCCAAATGTGACAATATGGAGCTGAGGCTCCCCCTGTCCCTTTTCTGGGCTAAAGGATGGAAAACCCTCCCGAGCGGTGCCGAAAGCGCATGAGCATTCCCATGGGATTGCAGATTCAGGTGGCTGCTGGAGAGGAGCCAGCTCTGTCTGTCCCTCCCCTGCTGAGGGACATCCTGGGGACATGGTTGGGCCTTGCCCAAGGTCCACGGTGGTGGTTCCCCAGGGTCCTGCCCTCACTTTTGTCCTCCTTGTGCCTTTCAGATGTCCTGTGGTAGCCTGTGTCCCCCTGGGAGGTCCTGCCTGCCTTAGCCAGCATCCTGCCAGCCATGGCCTCCACGCCCCAGTGAGGGCCAAAGGCACGAGGAGCGAGTGTCCCCAACACCGCCACACCCCCGGGAGAGCCATGGAGGCCCCTGTGGATGTGCCCGTGGGGAACCTCATTGACTTTGACAGCGAAACGCCCTCCCGTGACCCCCCTGAGCCCGCTCCTCCCGCCGCTCCCGGTGACAGCGGCCACCTGGGGGACGCAGGGGACGCGGAGGAGAGCGATGCCACCGAGTCTGCCGACAGCGAGAATGACATGGGGGACTCTCCCCGGCACTGGCGTGGCTACCGCCGCTCCTCCTCCAACGAGTCCTTCTCCTCCAGCCAGAGCACGGAGTCGGCACAGGACGAGGCCATGGCCGAGCGCCGGGAATTCATGCGGGGTTACGTGGAGAAGATCTTCACGGGGGGGTGAGTGAGCAGGGCCGGTGATGCCAGGGACACCCCACGGGATGGGGTTGGATCTGGCTGCTTTCCCGCTCCGGGAACAGCAGTTTGTGTCCTTCTCTTCCACGGTGTCGGTGCTGAAGGGAATGTGGCTTTTGCCTTTCCTGGCCACATCCCAGCTCATCTTCCACCCCCGGCTTCCCTTTCTTCTCTCTCCCCATTCCCATGCCAGGGGCTCACTGTGCCCATCTCCTCTCCCCACTGATGCTCACGGAAATGCCAGTGGCTCACATGTGCCCAGGGACGCCGTGGCAGCCCCGGGCTGTGCCCCCGGCCCCCTGGTCTCCGTAACTCCGCGGCTCCGTGTCGGGCTGGATGGAGCAAATGGAGCGTGAGGAGCAGCAACAGGGCTTGTTTTTGCTCTGGGGCTCCGTGCCTGTCTCTGGAGCTCGGTTTCTGCTCGCACTGTCCTTGGCTCTTCCCTTCTCCCACTGCCTTTGGTTTCCCTCCTGCCAGGGAGGAAGAAAAGAGCAGCGCGAGGCGAGGGATGACAAAACGGATGCTCCTCTCCTCCTCTTCCTCTGCCTTCCTCCAGCACCAGGAGGCTGGTGCCAAGAGGGATGCTGGGGGGTGCAGGTCACATCCTTGGCTTTAATGATGATTTTTTTAATTTTTCCCCGTTTCAGAGAGGATTTGGACCAAGAGGAGAAGGCCAGGTTTGGGGAGCTCTGCAGCAGCGAGAACGGGAAGGGCAGGGAGTGGTTTGCCAGATATGTGAGCGCCCAGGTAAGGGGAGTGGTGGGGAGGCAGCAGGGATCCTGCATGGGCCTTGGAACAGCCTCAGGCCAGGGGGATTTATTTATATCCCAAAGAACTAATTTTGGAAGGCAGGAGCTCAAGGAAAGTGAGGAACCACAGCAGAGTATATAGGAGTGAATAAATGCATTTTGAGCAGTTAAATACACCCTGGGTGCAACGTGGGAGAGAATTCAGTCATTTTATTTAAAATTAAACCCCACCAGCACTCAGACACATCCTGTTCTCTGAAAAAAAAACCACAAAAAAACCCAGACAGGCACAACGCTGCCTCTGAGGGGGAGACCCAGCCATGAGTGCTCTTTTTCCCCTGCCCATGGTGGGTGGTCCTGGGGGGCTGAGGCTGTTCCAGGCTGTGCTGAGCCCTGGGCTCTGTCCCTGCAGCGCTGCAACTCCAAGTGCGTCTCGGAGCAGACCTTCTACCGCCTGATGCAGTCCTTCGCCCTCGTGCTCTTTGAGTAAGTCCTGGGGGCACTCTGGGGCTTTGTGCTGACCCCCAAAAGGCCCTGAGGGCAGAGCTGTGTTGGGTTCCCATCATGGGGTGTCCTCATTGAGTCCCCACTCTGCACCAGGTGTCACCAGATGGACGATTTCAGCCCTGCCAAGAACCTCATGACCATGTGTTTCACCTATTACTACATAGGTAAGGGAACCTGCAGCGCTGTGGAGGCTCTGCTGGTGCTGGGGGCTGCTTTGAAATGTGTTCCATGCATGGGAGAGGTGTTGGGAGGGGTGACCCAGGTGGAAGAGACCCCAAAATCCACGCAAACCTGGCAGAACTCCTTGCTGGGGCGGTGGTGCTGCTTTGTCCATGCTTCCAGCCAGGAATATTCGTATGTGATGACCCCCAGATGATCCCAGCCCCTGGGGGTGGGATGTGAACGCCCCTAGAAGCACCTTGGTTTATTGTTTTTGGTTTATTGTTTGGTGCTGTGGCCGCTCCTCCACGGGGGGCTGGACTTTCTATCCAAAATGGGAGTGGGGAGGATAAAAATCAAAACCTGCAGGAATCGGGATGGGATCTCGGGTGTTTCCACCTCCTGGTGGTGCATGGTGGAGCCGGATTCAGGTCCCCAGCAGCTGGCAGCACTCAGGGCCGTGGGCCCACTGAGCTCCTGGCACATTTTCCCCAGGGAAACCTCACGCCCTGCCCTTGGAAGCCAAGGAGAAACCCACGGGCAGCATCGACTCTTACCTGAAGTCAGCGAACACCTGGCTGGCCGAGAAGAAGGACATCGCAGAGAGGCTGCTGAAAAACACCTCGGCCAAGACAGAGAATGTCAAGGGCTTCTTTGGGGGCCTGGAGACCAAACTGAAGGGTCCTGCCAGCAAAAAGAGCGAGTGGGTGCCAGTCCCTCGGGTGGGCAGGCACCCATCCCCTGAGCAAGCCAGGGCTGTAGGGCCACCATGGGGCTGCCATGGCCGTGAGAGGTCATCTCTGACCTGGTGCCACGCTTTAGTCACTGTCACCTCATGCAAGTCCTGTTTCCCTTGTCCTAATTGTCCTAATTCCTCCTAATTTGTCTCAAAACCGACACAGCCACGGAGTTATGGGGTTTCAAGGTCGTGATCTTCCGCATCATCTCTGTGCTGGGTCCGAGGGGAGGGACGTCACTGTCTCTTTGTCACCTTTCTGGCCCTGGGGATGGTGCCATGGGATCAGAGGGGCTTTCAAATGAGGTTCCCTTTGCCAGGGGAGCCATGGGCTGTGGTGGGAACAGGGTTTGTGGAGCTGACATTGATTTCCTGTGCCACAGTGAAGGTGAAGACAAACCGAAGGAGAAGCTGAAGAAGACGGGTGAGTGCAGCCAGCGTTGGTGAAATGGGCATGGCCAAGGCATCTCTGGGGAAGGAGACAGGGCTGGAAATGCTGGAATTCCTCAGGGCTGGGTTTGAAATTCCAATCACAACTCTTGTCCTGCGAGGATCTTGTCCTCAGTGTCACAAGGGCACGCACAGCCTCTGAGCTTTGGTGGTGCACCAGTCTCCCCCAGTACCTGTGTGTGCTCCCAAACCGGAGGTCCAGTCCCTCCAGGATCCTCCTGGGACATCCCTGCCCTCCAAGGGCTCTCAGAGCTCCTCTTCCCATTGCTGTGGATGTGTAGAGGATGTGTTTGGCTTGCAAACCATCTCGGCTGCTCAGCCACGAAACCGGGAGGGGACACAAAATCCACAGGTGGGTGGGAGGGTGGGAGTCACAGCGTGTGACTGTGTGTCCCCACAGTGTCCCTGCAGAGCCCAGAGGAGGAGAAGAAGGGGGAGAAGATCTACCTGTACATGCACCTCAAGCAGCAGCCGATCTGGTAAAGCCCTGGGGAAAGCTGGCTCCTGCCTGGGGAGGGGTTTGTCCTGCTGGCCACATGTCCCCAGGGGTTCACGAGTGTCCCTAACAGAGCTGGCCTCAACTTTGGCACATCCCTTGTGCTACTGAGAGTGTGTTTGCAGCCACCAAAGGGCTGGTCCAGAAATCTGCCAGGTTTGTTTGGCCCATCCTGACCCTTGGGAGGACTCGGGGACAGGCTGGGTGAGATTGTGGAATCCTGGAATGGTTTGGGTTGGAAGGGACCTTAAAGTTCATCCCATTCCACCCCTGTCATGGGCCTTCTGCTGTCCCAGGCTGCTCCAAGCCCTGTCCAACCTGGCCTTGGACACTTCCAGGGATCCAGGGGCAGCCACAGCTTCACTGGGCAACCTTTGGTTCCTAATTATAAAATCCCAATTAGCCATTTCCAGCATTTCCCTCCCTCCCTGCAGGCACAACCTCCGGTTCTGGAACGCCGCCTTCTTCGACGCCGTGCACTGCGAGCGCAGGAAGAGGTCCCCCACCACCAGGTAGGACACGTCCCTGCAGGAACAGGAGGCTCTGTGTCCCCTCCAGCCCCCCCAGGATGCTCCTCCCAACAGCCCTGAGCTTGTCCAACCCTGGGGAAACGCTCTGCTTTCCATCCCTGACTGGAAACCTGCTGGGAGCACTGGGCAGTGGGGTGGGCTGGTGAGATCTGCAGCCTGGACGGGGTTTGGGAGAGCAGGAAGCTTTTCTTGCTTGTTGTGCAGCATTTTTGGAGGAACCAAGCCCTAGAGATGTGCCCAGAAATCCCAGCCAGGGCTCAGGCTGCTGGTGCTGAGTGTGCCAGCAGGTCTGGGAGGTGTGGTGGATGGAGGGGATGTCCCAGCTTGTCCCCAGGAGGGACAACCTGCAGCCAGCAAGGAGAGAAGCTGGGGATGGTGGCACTGCCAGCCCCGAAAACGGTGCTAAACCTGTCAGAGAAGGGGCTGCTCATGTCGGGGGGTGCAGAAGTGATTGAGACACTGGCCAAGCTTGTGCTCATCTCTTGCTGCACCCCGGAGCTGTGTGAGGGCTCCAGCCATCCCTCCTGTCCTGACAGCAGTTTCCCACTCCCAGCCAGCCCCTCTGCCCTCTGTGCAGTGCCCTGAGGCTCTGGGCTCTCGGGGAGCTGAGAGCATTCGAGCCACTCCTTTTGGGAGTGCTGACAGCCCTTTAGAGCAGCCAGCCCCGCTCTGTGTCCCCCCCAAATCCCCAGCTGAGCCGCAGCAGCCCTGGCTCACACCCCGGGATGCTGTGCCAGGCTCGGCTCACAGATCAATCCCTGTTTTCCCCATTTCTCGCTATCCTTTTTTCCTCCCAAGCAAGCACGGGAAGAGCCTATTGAGCAGCAATGTAACCATAACTGCATTTGCTTTGATTAAGCCCCAAATTAGCAGCAGCAAATGCCTCACAAGGACAGACGCCACTGGCAGCTGCTCCCTGCTCCCAGTGCCTTTCCCAATTAATCTGATGGCTGAGCCTGCCTGGGCTGCAGGAACAAGCCTGACTAACAAAGGAGCTTTGGGAGCTGCAGCCTGGAGTATCCTGAGCATCTCGGGGGGGTTGGGAGGTGGTGGTGGCCCCCGAGTCCTCAGCAGAGGATGCAGAATCCTTACAGTGAGCTGGGATGCTCCGTGCTGGGCTGAGGACTGAAATCCCCGCAGGGAGGACGTGCTTGGTGGGGGCTGGGTTTGGAACTCCAGGTTGGTCCCTGGCCATGGCAGATGTCCAGAAGGTCCGTGGGGATGGGGTTGAGGCCACCTCTGTGATGGGGTGACCAGGACATCTCTGGGGTGGCCGGGCTTTGTCCTCCCGGGGCTGCAGCGAGACCTGGGGAGGTTTTTCCTCCTCTGGGTGGGGAGGGCAAGGGAGGGTGGGGAAGGAATCAGAACTAAACTCCTCTTTTTCTCTCTCTTTCCTCTCTCTCTATGCCTCTAACAACCTTCTTCCATCTCTTCTTCTCTCCGTTCCCCTCCATCCCTCTGTCTTGCATGATCTTTTCTCGCACCACTTTTGTCGGCCCCGTTTCTGCCGCCGCTCCAGAGGGAACACTGGGGAGGAAGAGGAGAAGAGGTGTGTCTGTCCCTGTCCTTCCTTAGTGTCCACAGGCTGATGCTCACTTCAGGTCCAGATCCTGCCCTGGGGAGGGGGGGATGTGTTCTGGGGGGCTCTGCAAGGCCCTTTCTCCTTTCAACTGCAGGAGGTTTGAGCATGAGCATCATCCTCCCAAAGGGCCTGAGGTGTTTAGATTGGCTCCTCTTTCATGTGGTTTTTAAAAAGGAGCCTGAATGGTTTCAAGCTGTGATGTTTTGCTGGGAACATCCCTCTGGGCAGGTTTTGGACACGAACTGAGTCTCTTTGTGTAGGAAGCATCCCCCTCTCCTGTCCTTCCTGCTTGCTCCCGGCTTCTGCTGCCACTTAGAGGTGCTGGGGATCCTTTGCCAGCTGGAAAAGCTGGCCCTTTTCCATCTCTAATGCACTTTGCTGCTGCCATCCCTTAACAAAATTAAAATTGCAAATGTGGGGCTGCATGTCACAATTGGGAGCATGTCCTTGGGGCCACGGATGGCATCGGGGCAGGGGAACAGCCACTGCTCTCTTGGGGTGTGGGATCTGGGAGCAAATCCCTCCAGGTGATGGCATTAGCAAGGGGATGAGGATTTTTGGAAGGCTGGCAGTGAATTTTCTGTGTGGCTGAGGGATGTCCTGGCTAAGGGATGGTGTAGGTATCACTGCTGGGGTTTGCTGTGAGGGGGGAAACGCTGCTGCTGCTGCTGCTGGAAGAGAAAGGAATTGATGCAGAGTTCTCAGCACTTCCAGGCACAGCAAGGCTTCCCTGGACACCCCAAAATACGACCCCATAGCCCAGGGGGTTCCTCACCCCTGTGCCTGTCCTGCTGGGCCAGTGTGAAGATCAAAGGCTTTGAGTGGAGCCACATGTGGGTTTTTTCCCTTTCCAGGCATGTTACTCTTCAGTAATAAGCCAGAAACATGGCCAAATGTTTTTTTTGGGGCACTTTGATAATGTTTTTTCTCCCTTCTTCCTCCCTCCAAAACATAAAAAGGCAGGAAAAAAGGAGTTACAAACATGCTTCTTCTGTAAGTGAGCCAGTGGGGTCTGTGAAGTTTTGCTTCCAGATTTCAAAGCCCCTTAATTCAATTCTTCCCCTCTCCTTTCAGCCTCTACATTTGGCTGTGGGCTTTATTTGCTATCCTAAGCTTTATCTGAGAGAAATTACACCTTCTTTTCTTTAAAAAAAATATCCCCTGAAACATATTGTGTACATTTCCAGAGCCATATAAACAGTGAGCTGGTGGCTGGAGGCTCAGCTCAGCAGCTTTGCACATTGGGCTTGGGGTGGTTGAGTGGGGGCTGGTTCTGTGGGGTCAGGCTGGTTCCCTGTGTGGGGTCAGGCTGGTTCTGTGGGGTCAGGCTGGTTCCCTGTGTGGGGTCAGGCTGGTTCCCTCTGTGGGACCAGCCTGGCTCAGCGCCCATCCTTCTCCAGTTCCAGCCCCACTGAGGCTGAGCCAACCTCACCGAATTTAGGGTGAAACCTCCTCTATCCCCGTTTCCACCTGGCAGAGCTCCCCCCTCCTGCTTGCTATTCTGGTGAGCTGTCTCTGTTCTTCTCCTGGTGTTCTCCTCTTCCTTCTCCTCCATTTTTCTTCTGCCTGTCCCTGTTTTTCCTCGCTTTTCCTCCTCTTATCCTTGGCTGTAACCTCACCTGGTTCTCGGGAAGGGGCTGGCTTCACTGTGGAGCTGTAGTTTCCCTGGCATGCATGCACTGAGCCCTGCTGCCACCACCCCAGGTGACACACCTGTGGCACAGGCTTTATTCCTGGGGTGGGGACTCAGCCACTGCCTCCAGCAAACACCCAGAGCTTAAACCCCTCCATCCCTTAAGGTGATGCTGCAGTTGCAGGGAGCCGGAGTGGAGCCGGGGCATCCTCAGGGCACCGCTGGGATTTTGGTCCATGGGGAGGGGGAGGTATGTTTGGGGTCGGGATCTGGGGAGCTGGAGCCTTGCTGCAGATGAGGGACAGGCTCCTGGTGTCCCCCTGTCCCCCTCCCAGGCTGGGGGGAGTCAGCAGAGCCCTGCTGGAATGGCCATCCCCTGCTTCCTCCTCATGCCCACGGTGGCACTGAAGGTGAGATCCGTGCTGGAGGGATCGATGCTATTTTTAGCTCTTAATCCAGGCCTTTCCAGGCAAAGCCAAGGTTGAATGAGGTTTTTCCTGGGGCATCTCTTGCTTTGCTCCAGGGCAAGAGCTCTGCAGATGGATCCTTGTGAGCTCCTCCAACAGCCAGCGCCACACCCAGGGGCTCTCCTGCCTTCCTGTCCTCCAGCAAGGTGGCCCAGGGTGGGAGGAGGCGGACAGGGGGTCCTGAGGTGACAGTGGTGACAGAGTGGTGCCAGACTGGCTCGTTTCTTGCAGGGAGAAGTGGTGCCACATGACGCAGGAGGAGCGCGACGACAGCCTGCGCTTCAACGAGAACATCACCTTCGGGCAGCTGGGGTGAGCAGGGCACGGGGACCACCCCCCTGGGGACAGCTCCCAGGTGTTCCCCCACTGGGACATCCCTTTTGGTACAGAGGGTTTCGATGCTTCTCCCTGGGACCTGTTCCTGCCCCTTCTGTTGAATATCCAAAGGGACTGAGCTGAGCTCCGTGCCCGGGACAAGGGGCTGCAGAAAGGGAGAGGACTGCGGGGGGGAAGCAGGGGCAGCCTGGCCATTCTCTCACCCTGAGCATCTCTGTCCTCCCTCAGCACCTTCATCCACAACATGCTGGCGTTTGGCCTCAGCAAGAAGCTCTGCAGTGACTTCCTGAAGAAGCAGGCGACCATCGGCAACTTGGACGAAGGTAGGGGAGAGCCCGGGGGATGTGCAGCCCCCTTCTGGCATTCTGGAGGGATGGAGCGTGGGTGGGATGGTTCAGCAGCCTCCCTGAGCCCTTTTCTCTCTCGTTCCCAGAGCAATACAAGCTGCTCAGTGACCACATCGAGCAGATGGCCACGGAGTAGCCGCCTGGCCAGCACGCGGTGGCAGAGACGGCGGCCGGACAGGTGGGGAGGGGAGAGGATCCCACCTCCGGGGCTACCTGAGACTGAAGCTGGGCTACCTACAAACCAAACCACACACACGAGCTGCAATAAAACCTGCATGATCGTCCACCAAACTCTAGAGCTGCCCCAGAGCAGCCTGTAGACATAGGAGCCAAACAGCCCCCACCCTTGCCACACCCTCCCGCCTCGATTTTTGGAGTAGCCAGTCAAAGAAGTGAATTTTGTTGGTTAAAAAGCAAAACAAAACACAAGGGAAAACCAGGAGGAGCGTGGCTTTTCAGCCTCCAGGTGCTGTGGCCCCCCATGAAACGCTGGTGAGGTCTCTGGTGGTAAATCCAGAGGTATCCAAGGCTGCCTTTCCCCGCTGGCATCCCCTCGCTGATGCTGGAGCTGCACCAGGGGTGCAGGAGGGGATGGCAGGGACCACAGCCAGGAGCTGGGGCTGCACCCAGCCACCACTCAGGTTCTGTGGTGTCTCCAGGTGTCACCACTGGCTGGGGACACGGGCAGGGTGGGGCTGGCAAAGCCCTCGCTGGCCTCCCTTCCCTTGGGAAAGCTTTGCTGTGCTGCCTGTGTGGGTTTGTACCTCTGGGCAAAGAGACAACAGTTTGCTCCATAGCTTCAGCCGGGATCAGTAGGAAAAAAGCCATGGCCTTGGGCGGGAGTGGAGGCAGAGGAGCTCTGCTTGGCTTGGGAGGAGATGACAAAGAGCCTCATCCCTCTCCCTGCTGCCCTGTCCGTGTCAGGATGCTGCTGGATTGTGACATTTCCCAAAGCCTCCTGGCGTCCTGTGGCAGCAGATTAATTGTCCTCCTTCCCCAGGCTGCTCCTCTCTGCCCTCTCCTTTGCCAGCTCTTCGCTCCAGCTGCTCATCCATCAAACCTGAAATAGCCCTGGCTGAAGGACATCTCCTGTTCTGCTCCAGGGGTGGCAGCTCCCACCATGCAGCAGATCTGTTTTATCCCTTGGACCTTGGCACGGTGCTTGCAGAGAGGCTGGGGACGTGGGGATATCACTGGGGACACGGGGACATCGCTGGGGATGTGGGAACATCACTGGGGACACGGGGACATCGCTGCTCCCCTCTACAAGGAGCAGCCCACAGGGGCAGAAACCCCCAGCCCTGCACAGCCAAGGGCCCAACAGTCTCACCCCAAAAGCATCATCCTGAAACTCAAGTCCAGGTTTCAATCAATCCATTTTCCCTGTGCTGCCAGCTGTGTCCTATAGGAAATAGCATAAAAGGATATTTTTTCCTTGTAGCTCTTGGCTTCTGCTGTCATTTCCAAGCATCAAAACGATGCTTTTACCTAAGCTGGGCTTCCCTTGCTGCTGGGGATGGGATCCATGCTGGGTCTTATAGGAAGGACAAATTCAGCACCAATTTTTCCTTGGCCATTTCCAAATCTGGGCAGAGTTACTGGAGAAGGATTTTTGCTGGGGTGAGGGGCTGATGTTGGTCCCTCATCCCAATAAACATCTTCCTGCTGGATAAAACGTGCTGGACCACGAGCAGCTCAGCATCCTGGAGCATCCCATCCCCATGGCCTTCCCTGCCTCTGTCTCCACTCAGGTCTTTCCCAAATCCTCCTTCATTTCTTTATTATTATTATTATTATTGTTATTTTTTCCAACATGAAAAGTTCAGCGCTGAAGTATATATATTATTTGCATGTGTATTTTTCTATAAAAACAATTAAAATCTAATAAAAAATAGCCATAAACCCTCCTCAACCGGGACTGTGTGAAGGATGGGGTGTGAGAGAGAGAGAGATTGGAATAAATTATCTTTAAAATGATTTTTTTTTTGCTCAATTGTTGTGTGTTTTAAGCAGATGGATTTTCTCCACGCTGCCTGCTCGATCTCAGCGGTCCCTGGTGTTTCCACCAGCATCTCCCTTTTGATAATCTATTTTTTAATAGAGAAAAATTGTTGCACCTTTTACAGAGATGTTCTCATTTGCCCTGGAGCCAGAGAGGCACATGAAGGAGATTTCATTTTTATTTTCTTTTCCCTCGTGCTTTCCATCTCTGCCAGTGGCCTCTGAGCTGACAGCAGAGCTGGGATCCTGCTCTGGCCTCGGGACATTTGATTTCAGTGTATTTAAAAATCAATTACTCGGTATTATCTTATTAAAAAAAGAGATGTTCCCTTAGGTTAACAGGCTGGGAATGTCATATTCCAGCCAGGATTCAGAGTCCACGTCCCCTCAGGTCTCTGTGTGGCCAAGCTGAGCCTGTTCCTCATTCTGCAGGGCTGGTTTCTCTCTTGGTAGCCCAACATCTCTCTTGGTAGCCACATTTCTCTTGGGAAGGAGCTTTCCCTGCTCCTTGTTTTTATTTAATCACCCCCCACTGCAGGAGGGAAACCCATCCCAAAGCTTGGATGTTTTCCCTGGTGCTTTCCCCGGATGTGGGCTGCTCAGCTATGGAAAACAAGGAGCCTGAGATCAATTTTGTTCCCTCCAGCTGGTGAATTCCTTATCACCCGGCTGTGCTGATAAGTTTGTGTGTATAAGGAAGGAGGGGTTTATTCCTGAGGTATTCACCTGCCTCCAGGTGCCCTTTGCAGCAGCACCTCCCTGCTCCTGGTTTTGCTGCCTGGGTGCTTAGAATGGTTTTGGGAGGCTGCAGGGACAGTTTGGGAAGTGGGAATGAGATCTGGAGCTGCTTAATCCCAGCCTGGGAGGGAGTGAGATCCATGAGCAGTTACCCCGGATCTAGGAGATCTCCTGAGCTCCTGGAAGTGCCAAGGAGCAGCTTCCCTGTCCCGCTCGTGGTGTGGCTGTCACTGAGCCAGTGCAGCCACGAGCGGGTTAAAAGGCGGTGTCAGCACACCCAGGACTCAGCTGCACTGGTGCAGCTGGAAGCAGCTCTGCTGTAAGCCCCTGCAGGTGGGATATGTGCTGTGGGAGCTGCGGGAGGAGCCCCTGGAGCAGGTACGGGATGTCCCAGGCACAGCCTGGCCCCTTTCCCTGCCGGCTGCTGGTTCCAGCTTTAGGAAAGCTGATCCAGCTCTGGGGGGATTCCACCCACCCATTAAAGCCGGGCTCAGCCCAGTGGCTGCTCGGGCTCTGCTCCTTCCTGAGCAGCTCCAGCCCCTCTCCCTTCCCTCGGGAGGGATCAAAGGACGGCTGCTCGCCCGGCTCCGGGGCTTTTATCGCTTCTCTATTAAAGCTGTTAAAAATCTTCCCATTGTTGCGGTGTCTGGGAGTGATAAGTATTCATAACAGAGGGGATTCAAGATGGGTTTGGTTGTAAAAACACCTCTAAGCTGGCTGGATTTATGGCTGTTAAATCATCCCTCCTCTCATCTGTCACAGCCTTTTCAGATGTTCATCGCTGAACAACAGCGAAGTTGGGGCTGTAATTTGTGCTGCAGAGTGTGGAGCAGGAGGAGGGGAGTCCTCTCCACCAGTAACTGCCTCAGGATTTATGGACACTTCTCCCAATCTTTTTTTTTTTCCCGAGTAGGAGAGGCTTTGCCTCGCTTTCCGCTGTTGCCAGCTTGTTCAGGCAGCTGGAGCCGAGAAGTCCGGGTGGATTTAGAGCCCTGCTGGGAGGGTTGACAGCAGCTTTCAGGGAATTTGGGGCTGGCCCTGCAGGATCTGCAATGCGGGGCTGCGCCTCTCACTGGGCTCAGGCTCTGCTTTGAGGCTGGATCTTCCCGTCCTCCCCTCGTTTGGGGATGAAACGTGGGAAAATCCCACTGATGCAGCTGGCAAAGGAATCCCAGAGTGGTTTGGGTTGGAGAAGAACTTAAAGATTTGCTGGCTGGCTGATATTGAGGTGCAGGCTTGGGGAGAGCTGGTTCATCAGGCTCTGTGCAGCTCCAGGCTGCAAACCAGGGCTCCCTGCCTGCTCTGGCAGCCTCGGGGGAAGTTTCTGGAGAGCTGGGATGATATTTAGAGAATTTCTCGCTCTCTGCACCCACCTGAGAGGAGGTTGGAGCCAGGTGGGGATGGTCTCTCTTGTCAAGGAACAAGGAGAGGACAAGAGGAGATGCTGGAGCTGGGAAGGCCAGGCTGTGTTTTCTTGTTCCCTGGGATGATTTTGGGAGCCAACGCTGCTCTTCTCACTGAAAACCTTTAGGATTTGGATCTGGTTTGGGGCTGTGCTGATGTGAGGGGCAGGGCTCCCCTCTGGGTTTATTTTGGGGATTCTGCTCCCAACCAATTTAAAATCAACATTGGACAGATCCAGTGGGTGACATCCCAGGGGTTTTGTGCTCAGCCATCACCAGCCCCAGGTCAAACTCCTCTCTCCTCGCTGGCACCTCTGGCCCTGCTGTGGGGAGGGGAGACGAGCAAGAACCTGCCTTGAGTTTCCATCCCAGCCGTCCCCTGCCTCATCCCAGGGGATCAATCACATCCTTGGATCTCTGCTGGCCACAATCCTTCACCCCTGGGTGTCCCAGTGCTGTCCCCAGCCTGCCCTGTCCCAGAGGACACCACCACACACACGGGGTGTCCCAGCAAAAGCTTTGGCTTGGATGTATTTTTGTGGGATGGTGTGAACAGTTCCAGGAGTTGGGATTTTCTTGGTCTGATACTTGCAAGGTTTTATTTTTTATCTGTGTAAAAATAAAGTTCATGTTCAAAGCTGAGTTGAGAAGGCTGTGAAGGGCATTCCATAATGCCATGGAGGTTCCAACAGGACACATCTCTACCCCTTGTGGCAGCTAATAATACACTAATTATTACCAATATTAATAAATCTATTATTTATTTGAAGAAATAATCCTAGTTTGAGGTGATTATACAATATGAGTGATATATTTGAGCAATAGGTGATTACACCACTGGATCCTATAAGAAAATACTGTAAATAGAACTTAATAAATCCCAACAGCAGAATTTATTGATGAGTGTATTAATAGCTAACACCAATGCTGTAGATGCCAATGCTTACAGGAGATGATAATAAACACTAATTAAAAAAATAAATTCATTAATAATCAATTAAATAAATATTGATATTAATAAAGCTAAGAACCAGCCCCTGTCTCTGTGCTGACAAAGGATGGGTGACACCACTGGGTGACCCTGAGGCCTTGGGCTCCCCTGGGCTGGGCTGGCAGTGTTTGAGCCATTTCACAGAAGTGTCCCTTCCTCTTTGGGCACAGCTCACAAGAATTAACCCCTGTGTCCCCAGCTGACCCTGCACGCAATGGATGGAGACACAAATCACCTCAAGCAACACCCTCAGATCAATTAAAAAATACTCCAATGACCTCAAGTAAACCTGAAGAGGGTCTCAGTTGACCTCAAATGACCCCTGTGACCTCGAGTAACCCCAGTGTCTCAAATGACCTCAAATGACCTCTGTGACTTCAAGTAACCCCAAACAGGGGCTGAAATGACCTCAAATAACCCCTGGATCAATTTTAAGACCCTCCAATGACCTCAAGTACCCCCTGTGACCTCAGAAAAATATAATGAAGAGTTCAGTGTATAAAAATCTCATTCCAATGCTGCTGCTGGGCAAGGTGTGATAACAATTCTGACATTAATTCCCTCTCTTAGCTGCCAAAGGGAGGCCAGGTCCCTCCTTTCCCCAGTTTGTGTAGAATTCCAAACCAGTTCTTCCACGATAAAAGATGTCTTTTTACTTGATAGGATACACCAATGTTTTATTATTCAATTTAATGGGGAGTTTCAGGGGATCTTTATTTTCCCTGCACTCCAGCAGATGCATCCCATGGGAAAAAAAGCTGCTGAGAACAGAGCCACTGAGACAGTCCTGGGTGGGATTTGTCCTCAGGTTCTGCACCCCCAGAGCAGGCTCACTCTGCTCTGTGCCATCCCTTTAACAGGCAGTGGCAGCACAAGGAATGATCTAGAAAGAGAAAGAGAATACGTGAGAAAATAACCTCAGACTCAAATCTCCAGGGTTCAAGGAGTAACACAAACCCTCCTGTTTGTGGGAGCAAACTCCATCACCCAGCTTTGAATTTGTGCTTTATTTTCATTAGCTTTATTAGGGTTAAAAATATAATTAATAAAATTAAATATTTTAAATAATATTTTAAATAATATTTTAAAATAAAATTAATATTTTTTCTAATTAAAATTAATTCAATTAATTCATCAAATAAATATATTTAAAATTGTTAATATTTTTATTAATTACTAGTATTATTTTGTTTTCTTTTATTAGTGTTTATTATCATTTTATTAGTGTTTATTATCATCTCCTGTAAGCATTGGCATCTACAGCATTGATATTAGCTATTAATACACTCATCAATAAATTCTGCTGTTGGGATCTATTAAATTCTATTTACAATATTGCCTTTTAGGATCCAGTAGTGTAATCACCTATTGCAACATAAAAATAGGATTATTTCTTCAAATAAATAGTAGATTTATTCATATTGGCAATTAGCAATGTATTATTAGCTGTCTCAGGGGTATAAATGTGTCCTATCCCAGACACCTCTCTATCACCTTCCACCCTTCTGCACTCCACTACAGCTGAAGTGCCTGGGAAACCCCAAAAAACAAATTTTACCAGACTCCCTGAGCAAGTTTGGGGTAAAAAACCCCACATCCAAACCTTCCCACATGTGTACAGAACAGATTACCTGAAAAAGCTTCACGTCCTTCCACAAGCAGGGATTAATGGGATCATTTTCCCTGATATTGCTGTGGCTTCTCCAGAACAGAGAATGGATCCAGCTTTGCTGCTCAAGCAGCACCTGAGAGGTTCAGACACGGCCAGGTGACACCCGAGGGGCTGGAGCAGGGCTGGCAGAAGGAAATCCAAGAGCAGGAAGGGTTTGAAGGTAGCAGGCACACAGAAAGTTTCCAGAGCGATGGATTTCTCACTCTTCAGTTCTGCCAAAACAGAGAGAGAGAAAACAAGAGGTGAGGGATGAACACAAAGCCAGTCCTCTGCTGCAGGTGGGGTAGTGACACACACAGGGGGGTGGGGGACAGCTGGGACACCCACCTGAGGGGAGAGGAGGGGGTGTGAGGTGTGCAGAGCCAGGCAGGGGCTCTCTCCTGCCTTTATTTATGAAATCTTGCCTTTATTGTGCAGGAAGATGACAGCACCCAGCACAACCTCCACGATGATGGCCACAGTGATCACCCCTTGGCTCTCTGCTGTTGACTTCTGATCTAAACACAACACAGAGAGAAAGTTTAATTGTTAATTAATTATTGCCTGGCCCACTGTGATCCCATCCATCTTCCCTTGTGTATTAGGAAAGGGCATCTTCTCCCAAAAAAGCTTCCCCAGCCACCTATAGGATGCAGATTTCGGTACAGAAATGCTCTTTTGGGGCAGTTTCTGTAGGAACACAGAAATTCTGCCCCATGTGCCATAGGAGGGTGGATAACAGGAATTCCTGCAAGGCACCAGTCATCCCTCTGCTTCCTTGCCCAGTGGGTCTGGGCTGTAAGAAACTGCCTTGCTGGGGACAAGCAAGCAGCTTTTCACTGCTGGGGACACAGCCTCCGCCTCCCTCCTGGCTTGGCAGGGAGAGGAGCAGTGAGAGGAGCACTGCCAAGCTCCCTCCCAGGGCTAGAGATAAACATCTCAATCTCAGGGGTGTCAGAGACCCCTGGAAACAGAAGCCACCCCACAGATTTTAGGATGGGATCCCTGCCAGCCCTGCAGAGCAGCTGCCCAGCAGTGCTGCCCTCCTGCCCCAGCACTCACTGCAGACACAGCTCGGGGCTGCTCTCGCCCACGCCTGGCACACAAAGGTCCTGGCACTGTCACCTTGCTGATGGACACAGCCTTGTCCCCACAGCTGGTCCTTGCAGTCAGTGTTGTTCCCCTGGCCGTGATGAGGCTCAGCCTCACCTGCTTGTTGCTGTGCCCACCTGCACAGCTGGGCTGGGGAGCCCGGCAGGAAGCCCTGGGCTGGTTGCCACCCCAGCCCTCCAGCCAGAGCTGCTCTCCCAGGCCAGCACTCACCCAGAACCAGTCGATGTAGGTGTAGGAAGCATCTTCAGGGATGTAGAAGTGGCTGTGCCCCCGATCTCTGCTTCCACCACGGCTGGCATGGAGATCTCCAGCTTGCTGACTGCAGCTGTGGGGCAGAATTTGCTGTTAGGGGCAGGAGGGATGGGGAAGAATGAGCTGAGCATGGCCTGCTCCCATCTGCATCCTCCAAAAGCGCTGGGGCAGTGCCAGTGTCCCCTAGACAGTGTCCCAGCCCAGCAGCAGTGACAGCCAGGAGCCACCCACTGCCTTCAGCATGCACAGAGAGCCATTGATCCTGCTCCCTGAGAGGGGACACGGCCTGTCGTGCCCACACCAGCTGTGTCCCAGCACACCGGTGGGAGGCAGCGTGTCCCTGACCAGCACAGCACAGCCAGGACTCCCAGGACACCCCACAAGCTCTGACCCTGCTGCCCCAGCAGGAACCCAGCAGTCAAAGCCTCCATCCCTGCGGCATTCCCAAGGCTTCCCCTCGCTGCTGCTCTGCCCACGGCACCCCTGTGAGCAGAGCTTGCCCATCCCTGCACCCCACCTTCCCTCCCAGCCCAGCCAGCTGCAGTAATGGAGCTGCTGGTCCTGCTCCAGAGAGGATGGGCAAGGTAATGGCTATTGATCCAGGCCATGGAGCTGCTTCCCAAGGGATTGGGAGCAGAGCAGCCCCAGCCGGGCAGAGCAGAGACGAGGCTGGCATCACAGCAAGGATGGGAGTGTCACTGCCACCATCCCTGCCAAAGCAAAGGGGGCTCTGCTCACCCTGGGCTGGCACACGGCCCTGCCCAGGGGACAACAGCCTGTCCCCAAGCCACAGAGCCAGGCTGGGCACAAGAGGCTTGGAGGAAACGACTGTGTCAACATCTCCCTCTATAGCTCCTGCTCGGTAACAGCCACGGCTGAGACCTCAAAGGGCAGCGCCGTGCCCACAAAATGCTCTTTGTTTGCCGTGGGTATGTGGTGGCACAGTGCCAAAATGCAGCAGGAGCCCTCCTGCCACAGCAAAGGTCCCAGCAGGCAGGATCAGCCACCCCAGAGCTCTCCAGCACACAGGTTTTGGCCCTCGCCCATCCCTTCAGCACATCACGGTCGGCACTAAGCAAAGAGGGATGAGCAAAGCACAGCACAGCAAGGAAGGTGCTGGAAAAACAGGTGGAAGTCCCAGAGATAAGCACACACCATCCAGCCTGGTCTCGGACACTTCCAGGGATCCAGGGCTGCCCCACCCTCACAGGGAACAGTTTCTCCCGAATATCCCATCTCACCCTGCCCTCTGACAATGTGAAGCCGTTCCCCCTTGTCCAAAGTCCCTCCCAGAGCTGAGATTCAGGCTGGTGGGAGGCAGGAAACTCACCTCACCTTGTAACTGCAGCAGAAATCTTCATCAGCACTTTGCAAGGCAGCAGCTTTTGCTCTCCCTTCCCATCCCCGCGCTCAGGACATGGAGAAGCCTCAGGAGGTGAAGCCTCTGGAGGTGAAGCCTCAGGAGGTGAAGCCTCTGGAGGTGAAGCCTCAGGAGGTGAAGCCTCAGGAGGTGAAGCCTCCAGCTTTCCCCAGGTGCTGCGGGATCCTCACTCGGCGTCCAGAGAGGTGGAGCCCGGATTGATGTCACCTGGTGCCAGGCCCGGCATCCCGCCTGGGTGGTGGCAGCTGTGGCACGGCCAGCCCGCCACCCCTAAAGAGGGACCCCAAAACATCTGGCAGAGGCCGTTGTGCCCCCCGGCCGTGCCAGCTGTGCCTGCAGCCGGTTTCGTAGCCCCATCCAGTGTCTGCCAGGAGAACTGCACGGCTGGCTCCCGGGCCGGGCAGCGCTTGGCCCCGCGGGGCTCACGGAGCTTTGGCTCCCGGTGCCCTCAAGGCCGGGACGAGGCTGGAAAAGCCGCCCGGCTGATGTGCTCCAGCTGCTTTCCCGCTGGGAAAAGCACGGGTGGGGAAGGGGGGTCTGGGCAGGGCCGTCACCCCGTGCCTCCCTCGGTACCCGGTGGCAGCGGTGGGTAAATAGCGAAGGTAAGGGTGCCCAAGGATCTTTGGGGGTTGATGTGGGAAGGGAAGCCCTTCCCAGGGTGGGGAAGCTGTGTCGGGATTCCACGGGAAGGCCCAGAAACGACGAGCAGTGCCCAGCTGGCTGCAGAGCTCCCCCCTTTAGATTCTCTGGTGTCTAACACATGGGGGCTCTGCCTGGTCTCAGTGCTTTGCAGCTCTCTCCGCTGAATGCTGCTGAGTTTCCTCAGGATTGTGGGAAGCAGACCTGCTGAAATCCCCTTATTCCTCCCTCCAGACATGCAACATCTCCAGATGTTTCCTCTTGCCCTGTGGGACGTGTCCAAGAAAACCCAGGGGACTCCTCACTGTCCTTCCCACTGGGACTGGGGCATGTTCAGCTTTTAAGTCTCTAAACACAGAGAGATGAATCCTACCACTAAAACATTTGATTTCATCCTTCTCTGAATGATTTACAATTAAAATTGGACTATTCCCATGGAGAAACATAACTTTGATTTGTTTTAATTTATTTGTTTTTCCCCTTTGCAGGAGCCTGAATTTCCCAAATCCATTTTCCTGCAGCAGAGGGAAGCTGCTGGGAAGGGCTGTGCTGTAGCTCCTTTAGGAAAGGCCCAAAGGCAAGGCTGAGTCACTGAGACAGAGCTGCAGAGAGGGGCTGGACAGTAATAAAACACATCTGTCCTCTGTGGCCACATCCCAGATGTGAGTCACATCCTCTCCGTCCTCACTCCCAACTCCAGGCCATGTTTGGACAAGGTCACTGCAGCTCCTTGTCCAGCCAGGAGACACGGGGGGTGTCTTGGCTGAGTTGTTTTTACCCCCTGCTGGTTTCCCCAAAGGACTCTGAACATATCTTCCAGCAGTCCTTGGCCTTGGGCTCAGCCAAACTTGCTCCTCTGCAAGCAAAGAGGGATGGGCAGCTCTGTAAACACTGGCTAAGCTGGAAAATCCCAGAAAATCCGCATGCTTTCTCTCCCTCTGCAGCTGGCTGGGGATGGAGCTCAGGGATGGAGCAGGATGCAGGACTGAGGGGGCCAAACCCAGCAGGCAGTTCCCTTCTCTCCTGGTGCTATTTCTGACAGCACTGCAGAAGCTTTTTGTGGTTTTTTTTCCAGCCCTAAGGCTTTTCCATGCATCATGGCTTCCCAAGGAAGAGGAGGAATGCTGAGCCGGCTGGCTTGGGACCAGCAGGCTCTGGAGTCCCCACCATCAAAAAATGACAGCCCTGATCCTGGGAAGCTGTTGCAAAAGGTGAAAGCTTTGTGTGTGTCCTTGCTGGGAATGGAGAGTGAAGGGAGATTTTCCTCCTCCTTTCCCAGCCAGGATGGAAGCAGGTGTGTTTTCCCCCAGAGCACGCTGTCTTTATCTGGCAGCTGATCTGCTCAGCTGCATCCCCAAGCTTGTGCTTTATGAGCCATTTCTGCACTTTCTCCATGAAATGGGACATTTTTGGCTGCAACCCTGGGATAAAAATCCCTTGGGGCCAGGTGGGACATGAATTCTCTTGTGTCATCTCTGCTCAAGGTCACCTTCTCCAGCCTTTAGCTTTCAAAGATAAACACCTTTCCTTCTCCCTGGGGATCGGGAATTCAGGGTGTGAGCAGCCCTTGCAGCAAGAAATCCAGGGATCTGGCTCAAAAAAAAGAAGACTGAGGTCCTCAGGGGAGTGCTGTGGGGCTGGCAGCCAGCAAAGCTACTTCCTTGCCGAAGGGAGGCAAAATTGAGCAGTTTTCCTTGGCTGGCCTCTCCTGCCACTGCGTGTGCCGCTTCCAGGCAGGATGTTCGGGGACATGAGGGGACAGCAGGGCCACTGCTCGCTTCCCGCAGGCTCCCAGCTTTACTGTCACTCAGGCCGTGCTGGAAGTGGGTCTGAAATGACCTTTTCCCTCCACAGACCCGTGGGTTGTTGCTTTAGCCTGTGGGTTTTGGCATCCAGCCCCTCCATCCCTCACAGAGGGGATGGCTGCTTGAACAGGAGCCGGTCCCTGGAGCAGGCGAGGAAAAGGATGCTGGAACTGCTTCGCTGGGTGGTCAAGTTTCCCAAGATGGCACTGTGGTGGCTTTTTCGAAGCTGTCACTGCCAGCAGAAGGGAAAAAACCCCCCTCCTGGATAACGCAGGTCTGCGCAGGGCAAATATTTGACGTGGTGAATAAATGAGCAGGAGGGAGACGTCAGGGAGAGCAGGGAGCTCTGACTCATGTTCCCACAGCGCTCCAGACACCTTCCCGGCAGGCAGCTGCCAAATGTCCCTGTCCCTGCAGCGTGGCAGGCAGAGGAGTGTTCCCACTGCCCTGCTGGCAGCCAGGGATCTTTGCAGATCTCCAGGGGTGCCGTGGATACCCCCAGGAGGGTTGAGACAGCCCCAGGAGTGATGGAGAGGCAGCAGCAAGGGGGTGTCTGGGAATGGGATTTTGGGTTGGGGCTGCTGTTTCTGCCCCTCCTCCCCTCACTTTCTTGGGGATGCTGAGTTTAATCCAGCCTTATTCCCTTTTGGATGCTCCTGTTGAACAAACAGCCTGGGGATGCTGCAGCCATCTCGCTGTCAGCATGACAGGCTTCACCTCCTGGCTCTGACACAGGTTTGGGGTGAAAATAGCGGGCAATTTCCTCCCTCCCAACATGCAATTTAAGCATGTGGTGAAGCAGCAGCGTTTCTCTGGCTGGAAAGCTGCTCGGTGTGAGCATTTGAGCAGAACTCTGTGGTTTTCCTGCCTGTCCGCCTGCAGCTGCAGGGGAAAAGCGGAAGATCTCGGCTGAACTCTCGTTTCCCATCAGGGCAGCGCTTGTGCACAGCGGGAAGGGCCAACCTGCAATTCAATCTCCAGCTCTGGGGACAATACAGCCTGTGTCCTGCTGCTGACAGCCATCCTGTGCAGGGACAGGCTGTCCCAGCCTCGTGCCACCGGAGCCTGGAGGGACAGCTTGTGCCTCTGAGAACACGGTGTATTTTGTGATGTGTGTCGGCTTTGCTGCCTGTGTGTGACTGGGAAATGCTCTCTCCCCCACCGGCTGCGTCCTGAGGTTTGTGGATATGAAAGTCCACATGCCTCTTTCTTCTTTTTAATTGCTATAATTTGTCTGGCTCTTACCCGTGGTCAGGAGCAAGGCTTGGCTCTGAGTTCCCTCCGTGGATTTATTTTGGTTTCGATGCTGTGCAAAAAAACCAAACCACCCCAGCCCCTCGTGTGGTGCCCTGGGTGTGCATCCCGTGCCCGGGCAATTTTCCTCGCTGGAGTAATTTCCTTACCCCCAGTGGGACATCTCTTGTGAATAAAGCTATGTGGGATAAGAGGCTGAAAACCACAGCCTGGGAAATTTATGCAGAGGAGGAGAGGAGGGAGATTGTTCCTAGCAGGCGAGCGGCGGTGCTGATTGCTGTTCTCATGGCAGGCGGATGGGTATGGGGCTCATTAGCGGGCGGTGGGAGGCAGGGCAGGGTTCTGAGCTCACAAATTGCCTCGGAGCAGAGGTTGGTGCCTCCTGGCCTGGGGATGGGTGCCCAGGGGATGGGAGCGCTGCCCCGTGTCAGCAGTGGGGTGCTCGGTCCTGCCCCTGTCTTTTACAGCAGCCTGTGATCCTGTTGGCTCTCTTGAGCAGGAAGGCAGCCTGTGGATGTGCTGCTCTTCTGGGGCTCGCTGGCAGCGAGTCGGGGTCTCTCCGTTTGTGGTGTCCAGGGTGGGGTGAAGACAAGGGATTGAAAGATCAGGAAAGGGAGTAGTTGAGAAAAATATAGGGCCCCAAGCAGAGAGAGGTGAAATTTGAAGTATCATGAGGAGGAAAATGTAAAAGCTGGTGGTTTTTCATGGGGAGAGTGCCAGGAACAGCCTGGGCTGAGCAGAGGGCACGGAGCAGGGGAAGGGCTGAGCAGTTATGGGACACATCCCCTGGGACACATCTCGTGATCCTTTTCCTGCAGACACAAGCAATGTCCCCATCCCTGTGGGACTTCCCAGGAGCGGCTCCCACACCCCAGGCTCATCCTGCACCCATCCCTGTGGACCGGGCACCTCCAGCCCCTTGGCAGAGAGGATCAGCACGATCCCCCCAGACCCTGCTGTCACACCGAGCTCCGGCAGAGCCAGCGAGCTGCGTGTCCCCACGCCGGCACTGCCACCCCAGGTGGCCTTGTTTTCCTCGGCAAAGGCGGATGGGAGCCACCATCTTCTGAGCAAAGAGCATTTTTAATCTCCTGCTCCCGCTCCGTGCAATTAACTTGATTCCCTCCCCTCGTTTCCTGCAGAGGTTTAATTAAAATGCATTGTTCGCCTCGCCAATTATTTGCTCTGTCCCCCGGATAACCTCTGTGCGGCGGCTGCTTCTTGGGGCTTTTTTTTTTCCATTCTTTCTTTCTCTTTTTTTTTTTTTTTTTTTTTTTTTTT